TTACAGGATATCGTATCGATAAGCCAGGATATCATTGAGATACAAAATCTAAATCAAAAAACAAAACTTGTATCATTATCAATCTGAAAGCAAATGTTTAAAAAATGTTATTGAATTAGTATGATTATTATTAAATTTAAAAAGTAAAAATAAATAAATTTAAAAATAACACGACGTTTTTTATTCTTGAAATGTTTTGTAGTAAATAACTGGGGTTGATATTTGACTGGGGCCAGGGCCGGGTATGAGACCAGGCTGCATAAACATTTATACATCCTAAAGTATATTTTTTAAATTTAAAATTCATGCTATATTTTGTATATGTATGCATATATGAACATCATTGTGATCAACATGATCATCATAATCATCATGATCATCAACAGCATAAAAGAGGAAAACTTGACAATGATAATAAAAATTATGTTGATGTTGATGATCGTCATCATGATAATCATCATCATCTTTACTATGGCACTATGTAAGGCACACTCTTCAAATTTTCTTACATCTACCACAACCATCTTATACTGAAGCTGCTACCACTCTACATGTTAATACCTGAGTTACTTTAACTTTTTCTAAAAAAAAAGGTTGTTTGATACAACGTTTTTTCTAATCTGTCAAAGATTATGCCTACTTTTTATATATTGTTAGAGTCACACCACACATCCATCTAATCATTTTATCTTTCGGCAAATACTACACTATATAAATTCTAAAGTTTATACAACAATGAAAGGATATTGTATGCCAGCATCTAAACAAATAGCAAACAAATATGCTTATATCCATAATATGTGTGCAAAAAGTGCATCTTGGAAGCTTATATTGCTTCTGGAATAAAAGTTTGCAAGCTTTTATTACTTCTCTTCAGTTTTAAATCAAGTCTCATTTTACTTTACATCTTTCAACATTAACTACGTTTTTCAGCTTTTTTATAAGAACATCTTCCTTAAGAAAAAATTGTCCTTATTATTATTGCAATAAGCTAATGTATAAATAAACTCTTGTCTGATGTAAATCTCTATTATTCTCAGTTTACTAAATCTTGTATCTTATCTTAGATGTTGATTCTAGAGACTTTTTGTTAGTTTTCAACAGTGTTATTAACTAAAGTAAGTCTAACATTTAATCTCTAACTTATATGTCTCTTATTTTTACTTTACCCCAGAGTAAAACAGAGCAATTTACAAGGAAATCTTACTCTAGTTTGACTCTGGAATATAACGGCCATACTCGTCCTGACAGTAAAATATTTTTGCTAAACTTTAAATCAATCCATTGTTTAACATCAAAATTACTCTCGCTTCCAATACTAAAACTAATTCTCAATTAAACACATTTACAATGTGTGCTTGAGACAAGATTTCCATCATAGTCTTAAAAAAGTGTTCTCCAGAACTATCTACAAATTTTGCTAAACTTTAAAAAAGTGCTAAATATGTGGTTCCTATTTTTCAAATCTCTAGAAGCACTTTGACCTCTCCAAGTGTCCTACAATTCTTCTTCACTTTGTTAATAGTTTCTTATAATTTTCTATGAAAAGGTTTTGAGGTAATTAAATTACTTCTTTTTAACCACAGTAGTGAAGTTATTCTTGAAGGCTTACCTTCTCTACTTCAAGTTACTTTAAAGTTCTAAATTGTTGCTGTAATATTTTTTATCTACAATAACAATCATAATGAAATCTAAAGTGGCTCTATTTGCTGATGACTCCACTTTATACTCTTGTCTTGGCAATAGATATTCACTTTTTAATTGCTTAGAACAAGCAGCAAATTTTAAATCTGATCTCTATTCTGTAATAACCTAAGGTTTGCTGTGTCTTATGGATTTAAATTCTGGACATAAAATCCACAATTTTTGTTAGACAACAAAATTCATTTATTTGCTATAAAAAAAAATATTGTAATATTGTTGGTATTCCTATATTGACAAATAAAAACTCTATAAATACTATAATATATTATATAATAATAACAATAATATAATATATATATATATATATATATATATATATATATATATATATATATATATATATATATATATATATATATATATATATATATATATATATATATATATATATATATATATATATATATATAAATTTACGGTTATTTGAACTGGCACTTTTTCAAATTTTCTCTCTCTATATATATATATACATATGTATATATATATATATATATATATATATATATATATATATATATATATATATATATACATACATATATATATATATATATATATATATATATATATATATATATATATATATATATATATATATATATAATATATGTATATATATACATACATATATATATATATGTATATATTATATATATATATATATATATATATATATTATATATATATATATATATATATATATATATAAATTTTGCAATTTAAAATAGTCATGTATCCATACATTAATTAACTAAATAAAACTTATTTCAATAGGTGTAACTATAAATCATCAAAATAAATCATATTATGTACTTTGGTTATAAGATGCAAACCAGTTAAAACCAAATCATTCATCGATCTTTGATCCACCAGAACTTTACTAAATAAACTTATACTGGTAATCAAACTACCACTAGTCAAAAAATTTTTACAGTATTATTGAAGTCAGCTTTGACCAATAGTTAGTATTAGATTTTCTTTTATTCTTTACTATATAAAAAACAAAGAAAAGTTAAATCCGAAGAGAAACAAAATTATTCAAAAACATAATTACTTACATTCTTCTTCGGAGTCCTCTTTAGTCATGAAATTAAATCCTGCACATACTTCTTTATCTATTAGTAATTATTTAGTAAAATAAATATAAACAAAATTATATAAAAACAAAAATGTAGAATAAGTGTAAAAAGATTACAATATATATCTAGGCAGTAATAATACCATAAACATATTCAAAATATTACTTATTCCGAAATAAAAAATAAATAGTTTATTTGATATAATACTTTACCGTTAATATAAAACTATAATAGTTTTTTTATTCATATAAAAAAATTAAAATAGCAATAATTACTTTAAAATTTAATGACCTCCAGTTACATTAACTCTTTTAAGTCTAAGCTTGTTGCAGGAATCAATGATTGGAAAATTTTTAAAGGTGGCTTTTATTGCATAAACACAAGTTTGCCAAAATAATCATCCATCTTTTTTGGAGCAACTGCCTCTGCTTCAAACCTAATGTATATGTAAATAATGTATATATAAATATTCATATATGCATCATTTTCATATACATTATTTACATATAAATATATATAAATATATATATATATATATATATATATATATATATATATATATATATTCATATATATATATATATATATATATATATATATAATATATATATATATATATATATATATATATATATATATATATATATATATATATATATATATATATATATATATATATATATATATATATATATGAATATATAGTTTTTATGTGTATACACATAGCTGTCATGTTTTGAAAATGTTTACAAAAGAGACTTGGAAAAAATTTTATACCACTGGATATTTGTCCACTAAAATACCTCTATTGACTAAAAAAGTTTTTTTAATGATTTATTACTCTGACAGCTAACTTAAAAATGTCCAAATTTGCCACTGACTGAGCTGAAATTTATTCTGTATAGATATACTTTTATATATTTATGTTTGTGTTAAGCAATTTTTAACAATCTTTAACCATTTTTCTTAACTTATAAAATGAAAACAAATTAAAAAGTTAGAAGGTTTGTGAATTTTAAGTTACTAATGAGGAAAAGAATTCTTTTAATTATTTTTAAATGCAGGTTGGAGATAAACTTTTCTTCAAAATTCAGAAAACTCCTGCCGAATGGGAGAGACTTCATAGGTCTGTTTACAGATACTTAATAAAACTAGTATACAAACTCTTAATAAAGTAATAAATAAATGTTAAACTATATAAATATTAAAATCCTCATAAAATATTTAACTCTTGAGTATTGATAATTCTTTAATAAAATTTCCAAACCATTACACCAACTTTTATACTTTTCAATAAAAATGACTAGACATGACATTATTTTGTAATTTAAACACACAATATGCCTCTCTTATACATATATATATATATATATATATATATATATATATAATATATATATATATATATATATATATATATATATATATATATATATATATATATATATATATATATAAATATATATATATATATATATATATATATATATATATAATATATATATATATATATATATATATATATATATATATATATATATATATATATATATATATATATATATATATATATATATATATATATATATATATATATATATATATATATATATATATATATATATATATATATATATATATATATATATATATATATGTATGTATGTATGCATGTGTGATAATTTTTAAGTAAATTAAAATTTTTTTTCTGTTAACAAACTTAATTTAGTCTGACTTATTATGTTTTAATTATTTTGATAATATTTTATAAATGTGAATCGTATTAAAACTAAGTACTATTTCTAACTAAGAAATAAATTTTTAAAAAAGTTGAGCGTTTTATTATAATCGTCAACTTAAAACAAAATAAAACATTGACAAAAACAAGCTGAATAAATCGAATTTACCCTGAGATTTATGTACTTTATATACATTTTGATATAAAATCTAAAAGTTTTAAATTAGTCGCAATAAAATAGGCTATAAAATATAACTTTATTAAAAAAAATTTTATACCATATGCATGCATTCTATCAAGTTTTCCTTGCCTTTCCGTTACGGCAAATTATTTTTGTAATGGCTAGTTATTAAGACAATAATTTTTAATGTGTTACTTCCTTAACATTGTCAAAACAACGTTTTATTAACGTTGCCAAAGTAACACTTTTTTAACGTTTTTTATATACCATGTTTTCAACCAACGTTGAAATAACGTTGAGTAAGTGTTGTTTTTCAAATAGTTTAAATTCGTTGAAAAAGCAGCTAATGTCTAACGTTGATAAACCATTACCTTTGCGACGTTTTTACAGTGATTATTTACGTACTTATTTTCAACATTTAATAAACGCATTTTTTTGAGAAGATAAGATACGTTTAAATCTATACCCTTATTCAACGTTGAAAATGTAACGTTTAAAAAGCGGTTTGTTTTTAACGTTGATAAAGAATATACTTCGAAACGTTTTTAAAGTGGCTTTTTGCGTAAGTTGATTCCACATTGAATAAACGTTTTACTTTGAGAGGCTAAATTACGTTACAATTTCAAAGTTTATTCAACGTTTCAATTTACCGCAATTTAGTATACAAAAACAGACATTGATTCAACGTTGAAAGCACGTTGTTTTTGTGACTGTAACGCTATTTCTACGCTGCGACTGGTTTTCAACGTTGATTCAACGCTTACATGTTTGCTGGGTATATATATATATATATATATATATATATATATATATATATAATATATATATATATATATATATATATATATATATATATATATATATATATATATATATATATATATATATATATATATATATATATATATATATATATATATATATATATGTATATATATATATATATATATATATATACATATAAGGGTAGGTCGATTTTTATTTCGCATATTGCGTAATATTGCAGTAGTTGTAGACAGTTAAAATGCGATTACTCTCAAAATTTGAGAGATTTTGAATAAATAATCGCTTGCGGATTTAATTTTTAAGATTTGTTGGATTATGGAAAAAAACACCTTAAAAAGCGTTATATGCAAAACTTGACGTTTTAACTAAGTTCATATTTAAATATTTTTTAATACTATTTGCTTTGCTGTATGATTTAAGTTTATAACAGTTTATAACAATTAAGCTAAATTTATAACAGTTTTTTAACTATTTGAAGATTTAAATAGTGAAACTTTTATTCTTATATTTACATAAGAATATTAAAATAAACATTATTTTTACAATTTAAAACATTTTGGCTATGGTTCTATACGTTTTAGGAAAACATTTTCAATTAAAAAATATCATCATAAGAATGGGAATAATGCCCTTTTTAAATATACAGTTTACGCATCTTACTGCTAAGTAGTTTAGTTAAAATGCAGCTGTGTCGATTCTCGAATCCATAAACATATCGACACAAGTTTTACCGCTAGCTCAACACTCTGGGAGTGAGATGGAAAGTCGGGGATTTCAGGTTTAACATTATTGTCAATCGCATATTGAATTTGCTCAATTGAAAAATGTTGTGTTGTTTGGAGCTCTGTAAATTTAGTAATGCTGATATCTACAAACTCATACCAATGATTAGTATTAAAATTAATTTCTGGAATTTTTTTCAAATTTACTTCCAAACTTTCGTTGTTTACTCTATAAATATAAATCAAATCCAATTGCCACATTTAATCTATCATTTTGTTTTAAAACATTATTTTAGTTTACTATAAAAAAATACCTTTGCCTTAGACCTAGTAGGATTTGAAAGCCAAAGTTTCGTATCTTGCTGTCATTATCTTTTAACATGGCATAAAGAGTATTTTCAGGTTTTAGGCACAATGCATTGTTTTTAATGTTTTTTTTTAATAATATGTTTAACATCATCAAAGAGGAAATTATTTATTCTAGTGATAATAGAAAAAATAAGGCGCGGGGATTCGTGAAATTTGGAAGATTTTTTTATATTAAACCACGCTGGAGCGTAAACCTGAACAATAAGACATACGAGTTTTTTTAAAGAAAAAGTTGGTTGATTGTCTCGAGTATACAAACAGAGAAGGCGAATAGCTAGAGTTAACCACCTTGCATGGTTAAGCGGTCCAATTTTGTATTCGGCCCACTAATTTCCACTCGATTTTCCATCTTCATAAGTAAATGTGAGGTGATGTTCAGGTTTAATGCATTTCTTTAGTACTTCTCCTTGAGGTAAGTTTATTATTATATTTGTTTTAGTTATTTGATCGAGCTTGCTGTCAACCCTTGACAAATTAACTGTTTTTTTTGTTCTGAGTCCACCTCTTCACTAACGATTTTTACTTTTGACTTGGCCTTATCTAACTTGCATTTGTCAATCAAAATATCTTTAATATCAACGTCATTTTTCAAAAGATGTTTTATGTCATGTAGTAAAGCATTTGCAAGGGCTGCACCTACGTTTGACGAACACTCATTTCTGACTAATTCCATTGCAAATCTTGGAAGTTTAACTAAGTTGTATTTTCCAATAGGATTATTTACTGGTTTCCATTCACCTTCATCCTAAAAAGAGTTCATAAAATAAAACGCTTTCTGTTTCATCTGTTATAAATATTTCATGTATTTATAAAATATTTACCTCCGCATTGATCAAACCACTTGTTTCTTCAATTAAGTTTACTTGTGCTATGAGGGATTCATCTTCATTAATTAACTTATGAGATATTTTTTGTCGTTCTTTGTCAAGTCTTTAAATCCATTTGACAGATAATTTATCGACGGAAGAAAGTTGATATGCACCTTTTGGACCAATTTTTTTCCTCTGATCACGAAGATGATCCAGAGGTACTTTATTACTTTGAGAACAAAGGCATACAATATGTTCTTCGATGCAATTTTCTTTATTACATAAAACTTTTCTGTCACTACAGGGAAACACATCTAATGAACAGGAACACGCAGAAATATCAAAAAGTTTGTCCAAGTTTGCATCAAGATTTCTTTTAGCGCTTGCTTTACCGTGCTTGCGAATAATATCCTTAACAAGTACAAGAAGATCTTTAACTTTCCTATTAATAAATTTGTCAGTTATAAGAGGTAATCTTGGGTTTACTGTAGCCCAAATTAATTTTATTATATTGCTAATTTGCTGAGTCACTGATACGATATCTGTATTTGGATTTATATGAAGAAGATAGTAATAATACTGAATAACCTGTCTAAAAATGCTTGGATCTGTCGTTGATAGTTCACATGGGCCGCCACAATATTTTTTTTCACTTTTCATTAGTGTAGTTGCAACCTTTACTTTCGGCATTTTTGTAGATTAATTATATATGTAAACTGTATTAAAGTATTACACTTACGGTAATAGGCAACGGCGTGAGTTTTTAGTGGGCGGTTTTTTTTTGATGCCATAACCATATCGACAACTTGTGTCGAAATGTTTATGGCATCAAAAAAAACCTAAAATATTAAAACTTACTATTAAAAACCTGCTTTGATAAAAAGTAAAGAAATAAAACTCTTTTGAAAAGATTTGGGGGCCATGAATTCAGGAAACTCAGGAATTAAGTAAAACCATTAGTTCCACCGAAAAGTTTTTTCGGTGGAACTAATGGTTTTACTTAATCAAAACTTATGTAATATAAACAGTTTAAAATATGACTCTAGATATAATAACCATAACTATTTACCTTTGATATTGAAAGATTTCTTTTAATTGCAGTTTTATTTTTAAACCTACTTTTTAATAAATTTAACTTTAAAACTAACTTTAAAATACAAACAAGAAATTTAAACACAAAAAAGATTTGCTAAGTTTAAATGCGTGTAAACGATTTAGCGAAACTTTATTGGCTTCTTAAAACAATTGCGCTTGTTTATTGGTTACTTTATAAACTCAAAACGAAATATTTTAAAACAAGATTACTAGACTTAAAATAAAATTTTGCAAAGTTTGAAATAAATAATCTAACAAAACTAGTCCAAAATTAAGACTTAAAATGCAAATCCGCAAGCCATTTTTAAACCAGGATAGTTGAGATTTGGTAAAACCTTATTTCTAACCTAGACACAGTAACTGCAACATTACGCAACTCAAAACTAAAAAAAAAAAACTAAAATCGACCTACCCTAATACATATATATACACATATATATATATATATATATATATATATATATATATATATATATATATATATATATATATATATATATATATATATATATATATATATATATATATATATATATATACATATGCCAATATATATCTTTGTTTGACTTTACTTTTCCAACAATAAGGTTGCAAATTCTTGGAATGTTCTGATTGACGATATTTTGAACGCTTCTACTATTGACAATTTTAAAAAAAAACTAGACCAGCAATTCACATAGTTAACACAGTGTATCATTTTCTGTTCCTGTATTATCGCAGCTATACAAGCTAGCCTACTATCCAGCTAACCAATAGATATGAGTCCCGTAAGGGACTGTACGTAGTCATAAAAATTATAAAACTCTATTGTTTTTATTGTTTATTAACATGTACAATTTACAAATGGATGTAGGTGAAATGCGTATTTTGGATAAATAATGAATTACGCAATTTAGCTAGATATTTGAAAATTTTTATAAAAGAGCAATTTTTACATAAAATACTTTCATTTTTTGCAAATTTTTTTTTTAATTAAAAAATTAATGAGTAAATAAAAACAATTCTTAAAAGACTTTAGATGTTTTTTTTTGTTCATTAATCTGAACTGGGAGCCGCCATTGTAGCTTCTGTAATTGTATATTGGCGACCGTCAGTGCCACGATCTCTTGCGTTTCAAAACCATTTTGATAAATCTATTTCAATATCTTTATTATTGTACTGATTTGTTTTAGTTTTTAGTTTCACAGCACTTACTATTGCCATAAAACTACACTGTATTAAAGTAAACTTACTTTAGTAAAATAACTAGAGTAAAAAAATTCTTACTCAAAAAAACTTGACAAAGCAATATTGCTTTATACGATTTTTTCCCCTTCTGCCCTGCCAAATTAAATTGGCGGGCAAGCTGACTATCTAGTAAAACTGGCATCGCTCTCATAACCAAATTTCGTAGATCCTCGCCACCAATGT